AAAAGAAAAGAGACACACACAGAGGGGAAGGCCACGTGAAGAGAGGCAGAGATTGAAGTGATGCGGCCACCAGCCAAGGAACGCTGTGAGTCGCCAGAGAAGCTGGAAGAGACAAGGAAGGATTCTCCCCGAGGCCTTCAGGGGAGCATGGCCCTGTAGACATCTGGAGTTTGGACTTCTGGTGTCCAGAACTGTGAAAGAATAAACTTGCATTGTTTTAAGCCTTCAATTATGTGGTAATTGGTTACAGCAGCCACAGGACACTGAAACACTGGGGTGTGGAACCCAAGGGGCCGTGGGTGCTCCACACTCCGCTGATGGGATGGGAAGACGCAATGAAGCTGCCAAATGCACAGAACTTGTCATACCCTCCACGAGGAGAAATGGCTGCGGGCGAAGGCTTGGATGCCAGCCCTTGTCACACTGACTTGGGTGTGAAGGTCAGGGGAGCGGAGTTCTGCTGGACTGAACACCACAGAGACAGCCTGACAGCGCATCCTGTGAGGTCCGGCTTCCGTGCCCTGCAGCAGCCTCAGGCTTTGAAGCAGTGATGAATCCCTGTCCCTCCGTCCCAGGGCAGGAACAGGGCAACTCTTGCTCCGCTTCGATGGGAAAAGCTGGGAACCTTCTGGAAACTGAAGCTTGCAGAGTGGGAGTTTAGGGAGCCAAAGGAGGCACTCCGCCCTCAGCTTCCTTCCAACATGTCCCCTGTGCCTATTGACAAAGCAGCACGGGCCTCATTTTGGGGCTTTTACACGTGTATCTTTGAGAGTGAGGTGGGGAAGAAGGGAGATGAGGAAGGTCATTTTTGTTAAACTTTAGAGCCTGATTGAGGAAGTGGTGAAACGGGAGAGCACAAGCTAGTCACGATGCAGCTCTGTGTTCAGAAGCTTTTGGGCCTAAATCTACATTCCCTGTTGGCTGCACTGTTGAGGACTGGAGGTCTGGGTAGAAGCTGTGACTGCCTGAAACCTCTAAGTCAGGTTGTGCCCTGGGGAGTTTTGAGCCCCGAACTCAATGCTGTCCCCAACTCGGTTAGTGAGAAGGTGATCAACTGCCCCTGGAGATGGGGACACCTAGGGAGAGGAGGGTAGTGAAGTCACAGCGACAGCATGCACAGGTGGCTGATTCTGTTTTAGTTAAAGGTGCTAATGCTTGAAATGGAAGTTATAATCTTCCTTCTCCAAATGAAAACGTATAAATCTCAGCTTAGATATTTGGTCAGTGCTTACAGTTTCGTGGACGAGAGAAGGTAGAGGTGAGGAAAGGTGGGGAGGTGAGCCACAGTTCTCAGGGTGCACAACACTTGGAGCTTGTCTCCCTTTCGCCCTTTGTGTGTGTGTGTGTGTGTGTGTGTGTGTGTGTGTGTGTGTTGTGTGTGTGTGTGTGTGTGTGTGTGTGTTGTGTGTTCAAACTCTGGAGGCATTGCTGGTGGGGGGCTGTCACTGACAGCACGTGTTTCAAAGAANATTTCTTTATAAAGCATTGTCCCTTCTCCCTGATTCAATCTCCTTCACACCCGTGTAGCTTTTTGGAAGAGGACCAGTAAGCCCACTTTAGGGAGGGTGAATCTGTGGCCCAAAGAGGGGTGGGGCGTGGTGCAGCCAGAGTGAGCCATCAGGTCTTGTGACCCCAGCCCATCACCATTCCCCACCCCCTCCATCACCCTCCTGCCAGTTAGAGAGGACTTGCTGGGCTGAGTGAGAGGAGGGGGCCCAGGCCAGGACCAGAGCTGGGCTGACAGGTTGAGAAATTTTGGGGTGAGTGCATACTGGGTCCCAGGGCATCTAGTGAGCCAAACAACAAAACCAAGTTCCTGGGACTTGGGAGGGCTGGTTATGGGGGCAGCTATGATCTGGAAGGGGCAGGAGGATGGGGGGCCAGTGAGTGTGGAGTGACAGAGTCCAGGACTGGTCCCCGGCTCCTGATCAAGGCTGGGGTTTGTTTCTCTTGCCTGCTGGCCACATGGGGAGGCAGTGAGGGCAGCCTAGCTCAATGGCCCACATGAAGAGGCAGCTGCTGCCCCCTCGTCGTCTGTGTGCCTGTGTTATGCACAAGGAAGAGGCAGGGCATGATTTTCAGATACGGCCATATAGGAAACTCTGGGTTCAAGTCCCAGCTCTGTCCCCACGGGGCCTGGTGGCCTGGGTGAGTCCTGTCGCCCCTCTGAGCTTGTCTCGTCCCCTCCACAATGGGACCAAGATTCTACCTCACAAGAGTGGGATGAGATCCCGTCACCATGATTCTTCATGGCGTCTGTTAACGTCAAAGAAGTGGCTGCTGTTGTTGTGTTGGGGCAGGACTCACCCAGAGAGCCAGGAGCTGGGGTGCCGTGGGGCAGGGGGTGCGGGTCTGGGCTTTCCCAGGCTGGGCCAGAGAAGAGCAGTCCCAGGTCCGACCTCCTAGAGAAGCACTCTCTCCTGCCAGGGATGCTGAGATGATGGGCCAGGACATCCCACCAGCCTCCCCTCTGCCCCCAGGCAGGCAGCGGCCTGTGTGAGCTCCTGTCTGTCAAAAGCTGCATGGGCCACGTGAGGCGTATCTGCCCCCCCGCTGCTCCTGGCCCTGTTCATTCAGGTCCATTACCACATCAACCTCCGTCTGGCTGGCTGTGTGGCTTCACCCAAGGACGCCAAGAGGGACGCACAGCGCTCTGTCTTCGTACCTGTGCGGTAGGCTCCTGCTGTCCCTAGCGGGGTAAGGGGAGGCACCTAGCAAGGCCTCTTCCAAAAGTCTTTGGAACAGTTGATCAATAGAAATTAGCTTTGGGACTAGAAGAGAAAACGGAAGCACACTTTTATGAGAGAGAGCCAGTAATTTGTTCGACAATCATTTGTGAGCATTTGCTGTGTGTGTCGGACTCTGCAGAAGAGAATCAGCCCTCTCCAGGGGCTCCCCATTTCAT